AATTGTTATTTATTTTATTTTATTTTAATTTTGGGGAGCGGGGTGTTACACTTCCCTAAGGGCTTTCCTTCTTCGCTGCTCTCTTCTCCACTGAGATCGTGTCATTGGATTTTTCCCTTTTTAGTTTTCAGAGATATGTGCAGTCTTGGAGGATTGGAATTCCTTTCGATAGGTAACCGAGGATCCTTGATTAACCTCGAAATTTTTCCATTTTTGCTATCCCTTTTGTCTGTCCTCATTAGGTCTCACCCATTTTCTGTTAGATTTCTCGGCAAATGGCTTAAAGGTAGCATGCCTGGCCCTTGGGCCCCTAATGTTAGGTTCAGGCTTTCTTGGAATACTGCCTCGAGGGTCAAAACTAGGTTTCTCCCACTTCTGTTTTGATTTGCGCGCCCCTTCGAGTTTTTGGGCAGCTTTTATGTCGAAGATGGCGCTACATCTAGGACACAACATGACATTGGATCCCTTCTTCTGGCAACAGTGGAGGAATTCGATGATGGACTCCTCGTGTCTCGGATAGGCCACTTTGTTGTGTTCTTCCTGACAACTTGATTCATCATTCTCCATGGTCTCATGTGGCGTTATTTCCACCATATTGACGTTGACATCCTCTCTCAGGTTGAGCTTACCTAGGTCCAGCTCCAGCCCTTTAGTGGCCTGGTCCATCTTAATGAAACTATCAGCAGTTTCTCTGGTCACCAGTATCAGGCTTGAACTCTCTGTGTCTTTTTGACTCGAGTCATCAACACCCTTGTCGAGGCCGTCAGCAACCTCATTCACCTAGTTTTCTTGTTCAAAGCCTACAGTGGTCTTGGCCATTACGGCTCCAGCAGCGAAATGCTCAGTGATATCCACCATGTTGATTGAGAAATCATAGCCGTCACTAGCTTCGACCACATGTACCTCCGTGGGCTCCGCGTAGTGAGCATCCACTACTTATAATGGGTCAGTGTCGACTTTCATCTGACTACTGGCTTTCTCCCCGAACTTCAATCTTCCTTCTTGGATGGCATTCTGCACCAAATCCCTGAAAAGAAAATATTGAGACGTTTTATGGCTAAAAAAATTATAGTATTTACAAAACCCTCTCTTTTTCCTTTGTTCTAAAGATGACATTTTGCACCAGGTGGTACTATCATTTGCCCATCCTTAACTAACGAATCAAAAATTTCGTCACATTTTGTGATATCGAAAGTGTATGTTTTCTTTGGGAATTTGTCGTTCTTCTCAGATTCGACAAAACTTTTTCCAAGTGGGGGGGCCAATACTTTGCAAGCGTAAGAAGGTCCCTGTTTTAGTTCAACTACATCTACTTCATTTTCGTCAAAGTATAATGGATCCTCACGTACACCTTCGATGTTTTCGTTATATTCTACATAAGCTACTTTCTTACTTTTATCGAATTTGGCTTTTTCGTCTTTAAGACATTCTAGCTGTCGAACCCTATCGGCTAGTTGGGCTATGTGCCTCAGGTACTGGGTGTCCAATTTCTTTCTAATGGAGTAGTTGAGGCCCCCCGCGGCCATTTCGACCAACTCGTGTTCAGGTACTTGAGTGAAACATCTAACTTTAAGTAGTCAGGACCTATTCAGGTACTCTTATATTGGTTCAGAAAACTTACGTTTCACGCTAGCCAATTCCTTTAGGCTGATCTTGGTTTGCCCTATATAGAACTGTTCATGGAACAAACGCTCTAACTGGGCCCAATTACAAACCGAGTTAGGGGGTAAGTTCGTAAACCAGGTAAAGGCATTTTTAGTGAGAGAGCTAGAGAAATATTTTATCCTAAGGCTCTCATCACTAGCTATTTCTCCGGCTTCGATTATATAACGAGCCACATGTTCGACAGTAGATTCCGTCGTGTCCCCTGAGAATTTAGTGAATTTAGGCACCTTCGTTCTATGGGGTAATTCTGACTGGAGAATATAATCCACTATCAATGACGTGTAATTTGGCCTAGTAAAACCAGTGTTTAGCCCGTTTCGAGCCATTATCCTTTTGACCATGGCTGCTAAGTTATTGTCGATAGCCATGTTGTTACGTCAAACCTGTTGGATAACATTGTCCACATCTTGGTTTCGATTTACTATGATTACTCCTGGGTCTCTTTCTCGTGAGATTGGTATTTGATCCCTTGGTGGTTCGGCTCTGTGTGGTTCGAGCCTGGGGAATTCGACCCTAGGGAGTTCGACCCTCCCTTGATTCTCTAAATTAGGCTCAGGTAGGTTTCCTAAGTCCTGTCGTGGAATGTTTTCCACAGTAGCTGTATTCCTAACAGCGGTTGGTACACCCATGAATTCAGCCAGCCATGTCAATTGTACTACTAATTATTGGTTGGTTTGAGTAATATTTTGGATCAAAGGCTGAAAGATTTCACCCATAGTCTGGAACAAAGTTTGAACCATTTTCAAATTGCTCTCATCCATTTGCTGTCTCAAACACGCTATCGAAGTATTAGTCAGATTGGGGCCCTGTGTGGAATATCCTAAGCCTACACTTTAGGGGTTTCGACTGATGTTCGCCCTAGACCCTGATCCTTGTAATGGGGAAACCATTGCATTATCTAAGAATATTGGGGGGCATTCTAGAGGCCTTGTATTACGGTCTTGGCATTCCATATGGAGGGTTTCTTGGTAATAATTGTGAAAACCCTGGGGGGACAAACTGTCTAGACGTCGAATTACCTCCTGGCGGAGTTTGGGGATTCGACGCTTGAGGTCCAATATATTCCAACATCGACTAGGTGTAAGTCCTTATGCTTGTTGACCCAGGCCCTAATACTGATTGTATTGGTTCCAATCTCGCTGGAGGTGCTATTTGCTCTCCAGTCGAAGGTATTGAGGGTGGAACCACGTCATTTCTTAATCCTTCGTGGGGACCAATGATGCTAGGCTGAGGGTTAGAACCATCTCCTCGAGGATTAGGATTATTTGGCTAATTTGCATCTGTCGCCATATCCCTAATATATTTTCTTCTTAGTCTTTCTTCGTTTATAGCGGCGATTTTGCCACTTCTTAATAACATGTAACGAATTTTTACGAAAGATGAATAAAACTACAGTTTTGCGAACTTTTTGCAAAACTAAGCAAAATTTATTTAGCACTGACTGTCCCACTGAGCGTGCCATTTTGTTTCCCTTGAAAAATGGAAAACAACCGTTGATCTTCCAAATTTAACTTTGGTGACTCACAAGATCGATCAGATTGATCCTAGGACATGTGCTAAAGGTTATGTTTGGAACTAGTCTATCTAACCTATACACTTCGACAGTGTTTTAGTAAAAGTACTTAACATAAAAGTGTTTGTTCGACTAAAGAGAGGAAAGATAAAGAATTGCAATAAATGAAGTAAAGAACTTTGAGAAGAGTTTGACAAAATAAAATAAAACACTTCAAAGGGGTAGATTGCAGGAAAAGTAAAGGAAAACTTTTTAAAGTTAAGCAAGTAAATTAAACTTCATTGAAAGTAAAGATGATGTGTTTACATAACGTACATTCTTCTTGAACTCGTTTCTCTATACTCGGGTACTTTGAGTAATTTTAGGAGTAACTTATACAAATAGTAAATTACAACACACTGAATTCTATGTCTAAAACTCTTATTTATAATAGTAAAAATAACTACCAATAACCTCCAAAAACCATCCGCTTCCAACAATGCAGTCACTTGCTAATCGAACGCCACTTGTCCTGTTTAGTCATGGGAAAGCATAACTACTCCCTCCATTATTTGAATTTCGAAAACCTTCACCAATCTTCAGCCAATATCTTGGTCGAAGACCATTTTCCTTAATGTTTGGAAATCTCTCTAAGTCCTAAAACACTCGAATTCCCATTCGAAGGTCTCCTTGTTCGAAACCTTATTCATTCTAAAAAGACTTTAATATTTTATTATTTTAATATTTTAATCTATACCTGAGGCGTCGAATTTGTGAGCTAACACAATGCTACGGATGTATAGTCGATAATTTGTAGTGATATAAATTCAATTATTTTATCACTTAAAAGTTGATAAATTTGAACCGTTCAATTGAAACCGACTAATTTATTATTTTTTGTACAAATAGATTGGGTCGGATATTAAATTGATTCAATTATTTAATTTAAATAATATAAAATTATTTTGATTGGAATCAAATGATTATTTTGAAAAGATTGGCACATTTTACATGTGATGCACCATGCTTACTTTTTGAGATGACCGGTAAGAATAACAAGTGCATGTAATTTCCATAACTTTCCTTCTTCTATAAATTGAAGTTTACAATGTACTCCTATTTCGATCAATCAAGTAGTAATCAAAGTGAGTGTTGTTACCAAATACGGTCTATAAACTCATCTCTAATCTACTTTATCACAATTGAGTAAAAAAAATCACATTTATTTTTTTGGTAAAAAGGCAAAATCATTAGTATAAGATAATAAACCATATGATTGTCATTATCCAACTTTCTTGTTGAAGCAAACTCACCTGCCACGGTAATAATAATCACTACTAATTCCATTCCAATTCGAGTACGTTAAGCTTAAATATATAGAAAGACCAAAGCCATTAATATAAACTTCAACAACAATAACACTATCAGAAAAAACCAAAACCCAAAAGTTAGGTAAAATATTTAAATACGTTTCCAATACTAATAAATAATAAAAAACATTATTCTATTAAAATTTTTAATTTAAAATCAGTTAAAACGTAATGTTAGGAATGATGTAAGAAGAGAGGAAGACTCAAACAATACAAACGACAAAGAGATCGCTGTGTCGCACCATTTTCACAACTCGTCAACAAAAAAAAAAAACAGTATAAAAAAAACAAAGACCAAAAAAACCCATAAATCAAAGGTGATAGATAGATAGATACTGAAGCTTCTACTTCTAGTGACGGTTCAGCTCTCAGTCTCACCGACGCGATTTTCCCATTTTGCCCCTTTCTCTATGTTTAGGAAAGTGAGTATTCTGTGGATCCTGTGTTGGGGACCAGGATAAGGTTTCAACAGAATGGGGGTGTTTGAGATTTTAGGGTTTCAGGGTTTGGTTTATGTGTTGTTGGTTTTGGGTTTTGTGGTGATTCGTCAGGTTTGGAGAAATGCTGAAGCCAAGAAAGAAGAGATTATGAGGTTGGTGCAAGATACTGCCATGGCTGAAATGGAACCTTCTACTACTGCTGCTGCTTTTGCTTCAGCTTCAGCTTCTTTTGATTTGGATTCACTTCATGTTTCAGCTTCTCAAGCTTCTCAAGGGTATCAATGTGCTGTTTGTTATTCTCCTACCACTATGAGATGTTCTCGCTGCAAAGCCGTTAGATACTGGTTTGTTTTTTTTTATTCTTCATTATCTTCTTGTTTCTTCAATGCATGTGTTTGTTTGAAATTGATGAATGGGTATGGTGCCATTAAGATAGGAACATGTAGATTTTGAAACTTTTCAAGGGGAAAATTTAGGGTATGTTTAAATTGAGGGTTTTAGAGGGCAAGTTTATATTTTTTATGTATTTTTGAGAATTTATAACAATGTCAATCACACTTTTAGGGCCCTTAAGCAAAAGGGGTTTCATCAATGGCTATTGTGTATGAAATAAAAAAGGTTTCTTTTCCTTGGTATGGTAGAGATTAGTCACTGCTTAATGGCAATACAAGCTTGTAGCTTTCTTAATTTACAAAAGAAAAATAATCTCTCACTTTTTGCGCGTTTGTGTGTGTTTGTTATTGGATTACATTGACCTTGGTATTATTTTTTATTTTACTTGTAGTGTAGTTTTTTTTACCGATGATTTGACATTGCTGCATACCTGAACATATCTAGTTTTTTTGTGTGCCTATGTCTCTTCTCGCTCAGTTACATGTCTCCAGACTTCTCTAGTTGTTATTCATTTACACAAGCATGCTTTCTTGTAGTTCGGGTAAGTGTCAAATTAGTCACTGGAGGCAAGGTCACAAGGACGAATGTTGTCCTTCGGTTACCACCACCAGGGAGGTTGACGGCGGAAATATTACTTGCAGAGCGGCGGTAGCAGAAACACAGTTTGGTCTTCATGGTAATGGCTTCAATTAGAAATCTCATTATCTTGTTTCAAGATTCATATCATCATGTATGGTATATAATTTGGTTAGGTTCTGTGCAGAAATCAAAGGAAAACATGTTGAATCTTACATTGCTGCAAGAAAATCGTTTGGTGATAACTGTCACGCCACATTTACGAAACCTGTCTGTAATAATACCGCTGATGATATTTGCATAGCTTCAACTGACAGTGATGAAAATGAAACCGTGTTGCCCCCCTCATCTCGCTTGGAATCGAAGAGTCCTGTTAATATTGAACTTAGGAATTCTAGTTCAAGTAAAAGAAGCAAGAAAAAGTCTAGTAACACTTCTGATGAGGTTGGATTTAAATCAAAAGTTCCAAAAACTAAATCTGGCACATCTCATGATTTGGCGTCAAATTTGAGTGGCCATGAACACAGAAGAAAAGTTGCATCAGTTGAAAAATCAATAGCTGATACCTCTAAGTGCAAGACTGTGCCTTCCTCGAGTAATTCAAATATAGATATTCTAGCGGATGATGTGGAAGAACCTCATATGTCCAGGTACAAAGAAGCACGGAGATCATCATCTAGTTCTCGTGATAGACTATTCTCAACTACTAAAGGGGATTCGGTTTCACATTCCATGTCTACAAAAACTGACAATTATCATACGTTGCCTTCAAAAGTTAGCGTTGCTCCTAATCTTCCACAAAATGTTCGGAATGGTTTGAAATCATCAATGCAGAAAGTTGTCCAGCAGTTTAGAATCTCAAAAGAGTCAAGATCCAATCTAATATCTGTTGAAAATGAGGTTGTGAATATATTAGACTTATTTATTTAGAAATTGACTATTATTGTTATCATTATTATTTTTGTCGCCGGTGATTTAAAATTTGTATGTTTTGGCAGTTGGGCTTTCCATATGAACTTTTTGTGGAACTTTATTGTTACGACAAGGTGAAACTATTTCCCTTTGGCCTTACAAACTGTGGGAACAGGTACTTTACAGTTCTTGTTGCTTTATATTGATTGGTTTGATTTGTTTTGTGTGATGTAGCTCTGGTGAGGTGAGAGGGAATAGAGATTAGGAAGGAGACAATAAGGAGTCGGTTACTTTATTTTGAAGCTTTATGTTTCTTTATTTTTTTTCCTGAGTGCTCTATTGTGTTGCGTAGCCCTAAATTATAAAATTAGAATCTATTACTTGTGACTAACGAAATATTTGTGAATCAAGTAGGTCTTCAGAAAACTTTTGCGGGAACATTCTACTACCTTCGTCCCTAAATATAGGACTCTAAATCAAAAGGATTAAGAAAGTCGCCAATAGTTTTAAATTTGTTGACTATTAGGATTGTTTTACAAGCTTACCATTTAGGAAAGAGTATTGTTTTCCTTGTTGACTATATTTAGGGATGACAGAACTGTCTTACTGGTATCCGATGCTTGTCTCGATTTCATGTTTTGTGTAGTCACAGGGAGACACATCAAGTGCTTGTCTGCTTTGCAATTATTTTTGTTTCCTTGATTCATAATTACATACCCTTTTGCTAATGAAATGGCTCTATCGCAGCTGTTACGCTAATGCAGTTCTCCAGTGCTTGGCTTATACTCGGCCTCTAACATCGTATCTTTTGCAAGGGTTCCATTCGAAACGATGCAAGTTCCTCTTAACAATATCTTTGGAATTTTACTAGTTGAACTATTAGGACCTTTAATTAATTGAATATTCACAATGTTGTCACTAGGTCAGAAGAAGGGATGGTGTTTTATCTGTGAGTTTGAATATCTAATTCAGAAGGCAAAAGAAGGGAATTCTCCACTTTCTCCAATTGGGATATTATCTAAGATACACAAGATTGGAAGTCATCTTGGACATGGGAGAGAGGAAGACGCACATGAGTTTTTGAGGTGAGGCAAATAATTGCCGATGTTGATGCTTTGTCAATGATATTTTCATCTCAGCTTCCACCTCATAAAAAACATATTTTGTTGATATGACGTATTGATCTAACGACAGGGGTGCAGTTGATACAATGCAATCTATTTGTCTCAAGGAAGCAGGTGTTTCAAGTCCTTTGACAGAAGAAACAACTCTCATTGGGTACACTTTTGGAGGTTATCTACGATCTAAGGTATTTCTCAATCTAACAATCTATTTTATGGTGTTGTGCATTCAACTTTTGAGCTGGAAAAAATAATCGCTTTCATACATTGAATCTTTTTGCTGCAAAATGCAGATAAAGTGCTTAAGGTGCATGGGGAAGTCTGAGATGTATGAGAGAATGATGGATCTTACTGTTGAGATTGGCGGGAATATTGAAACTTTGGAGGAGGCTCTTGGACAGTTTACAGCGCCTGAAATCTTGGATAAGGATAATAAGTATAATTGTGGCAGGTTTGCTACTTTTCTTTCCATGTCACATTTATTCAAGTCTTACAGTTTGTGACCACATCTGAATTTTATGTCGACAAATATCTTTTTTCGGCCAGATCTGCTAGTTGTGTTGTGTTGTGTGCAGCAGCAGCAGATTGTTGTCCGTGGCTGCTGCTGCTTCATGTTTTCAAGCTAGGTTTAGGGAGTAAAAGTCATCCTTTGGGCCCTTGAAGCTCACTGTAGAAAAATACTACTACCTCTGGTCCTATTTATAAGAAAAAGTTTGCTTTTTAGATTCATTCAATAACTAATGTATCTGATCTATATTTTGTCTAGATACATTGCTTATTCAATGAATCTAAAAAGCAAACCTTTTCTTATAAATACGACCTGAGGAGTTCTTAGGAAGGCACAAAGGAACTATCAACAAGTTGGGCTTTAGACCACAGTCTTTTAATAAAATAGTAGTAGTAATAAACCAATAGTAAAATATAAAATAAGATAATTTAAATCTTTATTTTTTACAAAAATATATTAGTGATAATAAATGAATAAACAAATAAAATAACATAATCAAATTTCATTCAATTTATACTTGTATGGAAAATACTTGTTGAAACACCGGTGAGTAGACTGGAAAAACTAGAAATATTTACTTGAAGGATATTCTAATAGTTGTAGAAGCACTCATGGGTAGACTAAGAAAACTAGGAATATTTACTTAAGGATGATCTAATAGTTATATGAAGAGACCAAGGAAAACTACAGGCCAACCATTATAAGAGATTCAGATGCAAATATTGTCTTTACGTGACACTGGGTATTTATTTTGGCTTTGGTTGATTTAATCCACAGAGCCTGACTCCACCTATTAGGAAAATGCTTGGCTGTTTTTGTGTATTTAATTTCTGTTTTGCCGTTAAAAAAACTCTAGCTCAACAAATCACCAAACGCAGTTTTCAATTAACCAGTTAAATTCTTAACCAAATTGATTCACTGCTAGTAGACAAATGACAAATTTGCATAAAATACTATGGAGTTTGGGAAGGAATTCCACGGGACCTTGTGATTAGGCTGAACTGTTCTGTTTGATGAATCAATTACTTCCAATTAAGAACATCTTTTTACTCATTCATAATTGATTGCTTTTCCTTCATCTAATGCAATTGCGTCAAACTAGATATAGTATGTATGTTTGGTAATGAGTTTTGAACCACAATATCACATCCCAATGCAAATTTGATGTGATTTCAATGAAGCTATAAATTGGAGCTTCTACATTAACACGGCCATTTGACGTGATTTTGTTAAAAGTGATAGAAAACCAAACGGACGCGTAATCACTATTATTTTTCTGTCCTTTAATATTGTACTAGAAGATTTTGAGCTTTAGATACCAAGCACAATGCCAATTCCGTCCCACAGGTTTAACGAGACCTCATCTCAATTCTGATTTATGGACATTGAGATGTAGTGCTGCAAAGTGCAAATGTTTAGAGAGACAAAGATGGTTAATGCTGATATATGAAGTAAAAGAGTAAATCACAAGGACCTAGGAAGCACATTCATAGTAGTTAATGCTGATTTCCTTTCCAGGCCACCCCCACCCAACATAAAACTCAATAGAATATGGGTATAAAATGCACTTCAATAATTAATACACTTAAGAACTATCGACATTCTTATATTTTATGTTTTAACTTTTCTTTTCTAGAGGAGTTGTAATAATTTTATTTACAAAAAAAAACATAATTATCTCTTACAAATAGTACTGGAGAGGGAGTATTTATGAACTTGTGAATTAGATTCCTAGATTTTTTATGATTTAACTTTTCCTTGCTAGAGGAATTGTAATAATTTTATTTGCTTTTTTCTTGCTATCTAGATGTAAATCATATGAGAAAGCCAAGAAGAAGCTAACAGTATTGGAGGCGCCAAATATTCTCACGATTGTATTAAAACGATTTCAGGTGCATGTTCACAGTTAATTTTTATGTTTTTCTTGTCTATGTACTCTGTTCCATGATTTGTAATTTTGCTTTCATCTTATGTTTTCTCATGCATGTTCTGTTGTTGATTTTGGCAGTCCGGTAACTTTGAGAAGTTGAATAAGTCTGTTCAATTTCCTGAAGTCCTGAATATGGCTCCATATATCAGTGGATTAAAAGACAAATCTCCATTATACAGTCTTTATGCAGTGGTTGTCCATTTGGATAGCATGAATGCTGCATATTCAGGACATTATGTTTGTTATGTGAAGAACATTCGAGGAGAATGGTTCAGGACTGATGACAGCAGGGTGAGAACTTTTTCTAACAAATTTCTTTTGGAAAACACTGACAAATGACAATATTGAAAATACATGTTTCAACTATGAGATGAATTCTGTATGTAAATTGAGGATGGCATTTGTGCTTCTCTGCAGGTAGAACCTGTTGAATTGTCAAGAGTCTTGTCAGAAAGAGCATACATGCTTCTTTATGCAAGGTAATAGCACTGCAGACGTTGATGTTTAGTTTTTGGTTGGATATGTTTATTAATTTTATGGTGTCTCGGCAGCAATACTAACATTGTTTTATGTTTATTTGAATAATCTCCAGGCACTCTCCGAAGCCCCTGGGTTCAGTAAGTAGCAATGTAGTCTTTTCCACTGGAAAGTTTAAGAGGAGAAACTTAGAAGCCATTCCGTCTGTTTCTAAGACACGATCAATTTCCATGGCTACAAGTGCTGATTCTCCCTCCCTCCAGCAGAAGCATGGCAAGCATACTCATGGGAACACTGTTGATGATTCCTTTAGCAAGGAACCTGTATATCAAGAAGAATGGAGATTCAACTATCGCGGAAGGAATACTATGGTGGATTCTTCCAGCGAAAGCTCACTATTCAGCTCTTCTGATGCAAGTTCTTGCAGTACTGCAAGTACCAAAGACTCAGCTAGTACTGCTGACTTTTCAGATTACCTATTTGGCGAAGCGGGATCCAATTGGCACGGCCACTATGGAATTTCATCTAACTCAGCGGCATCTTCTTCGTATGATAACTTGCATACAGATTTTTCAGTGGATAGGAGGCCCCAGCAAGACCCGGAAGATAAAGCGATTTTGTATGCTAACAAAAACAAAAGTCATAGTGGTAGATGGGGATTTGACTTAAAAAGATTTGTTACTGCTAAGCATCATGACAAAAATTCTGTTGTACATGTGAGAAGAACAAGTAGAGATGCATCAGCTCAAACATTTTATTGAGTTTGAGTTGAGATAGAATCAATCATCTGGAATATTTTTGGTACAGTGAATCAATATTTCGCTAATTCAAGTAGAAGGAGGATTCTTGTTTTGATGTTAAGTCTTAGGTCAAGAATTCTCATGTACAAGTAAGAATAACAAATCGAAATGCAGTAGCTCAAACGTTTTGTTGAGTTTGAGTTTAGACAGCAATCATCAATAATTGTCGGTACAATGAATATCACAAGTGTTTCACTAACTGTTTGATATACATCCTCAATTCAAGACTAAAATTTATTAATGTGTTAAATCTGTCGCATGATTTCACACTTCATATAAAAAGTTGCATACAAATCTAAGAGTAGAGGCTCATTCTACAAAGCCCCTGAAGTCATTATTATGTATTCCTCAAACCTAGAAAAAAAACATGTAATTAGCTTTACACGTTATGGTTCCTATGAAGTCAGAACTAAGGGAATAATCCTACAATAAACACTTATTGAGTAAACCTTCTCATCTTAAAGCTTGGCTTATGCATGACAATTTTCAAAGTACTTTTCAGCATACCCAAACCTTCATTTTCAACCCCTTGCACCCACAAAACACTTCTGGTTCTTCCACCAACTGTCACCATTTCAACCTTTACAACTTTGGCTTTCACGGACCCTACTGCTCTTGCTATAGATGACATCAATCCTGGCCTATCCTCACAACTCAATGTAGCCTTCACTAAACCCTCCTCATCATTGCACTTTTCCAAATTCAATCTGTCTGCCCCACTAGGAAACTTGACCTCCTTTGAGGTTCCATGGCTATCTTCTAGTTTTGATGCTTTTTTCTTCAACTCATTCACTTGCTTGATAGTCTCCACTAGTATTGATGCCTTGTCCTTCTGTTAACAAATATCAAATTCTAAATTTAACAATATTGTTTAGGAAAATTACAATGAAAAACTTCACTCGGGTCAAAGTTAAAAAAACATAATTTAGATTGTGAAGGCAATTGCGGCCACATCAATCGTATTATATTTAGTGGTTATTTTTAAGAATAATGATGGTACTAACTTTGATCAGGTTGGGGAGGATGCTGCGGAGGGTGTCATATTGGCCATTGATTCGCATTCTGCGTCTCCTCTCTGCTTCACTGTGTTTCTTTGCAGCCAGTAATTTGTTCTCTGCTTTTGATCTTTGCTTTGAGATACCGCTTTTGTATGTTTGAGAGATGAATGATGGCTGAAAGTTGCTTCTTAACATTTGAGCTTCTGAGTTATAGAAATTTCGAAAATGCTGCATGCCCTGTTGTAACTATTTTAGTAAAACACAAGAAGGAAACATGTTTGCATCTAATCTTAAATAAATATAACCTATAAAAATATTACCTGTCGAAGTAAAACCATTTTGCTTTCCAAAAAACTGTGTGATAAAAGAGGCAAGTGAAATGCAATTACAGCAGAAGCAATGAAGATTGAAGATTGAAGATGTTTGGCAACTATTTAGTCACTTTATAAAAAGGAATCAGCAAATCGAGGAATTTATGATAGGATTTTGAAATTAATTTTGAGATCATGCCTATGTTAAATATTCATAATGATATTATTATCTTCTGATATACCATTTTTATAAGACAATCTTATTGATCTGCAAAAATATATTTTGGATTTGTAATAACGTCATTTATCTTCATTAAATCGTTAAGGAATATATGAATATCTTTTACCTTCTTACAAACTAGCCAACTAGTAGCACTAAAGATAAATATATCTTGGTTTTGCACTAAATTCATTTTAACTGTTTCTTCTCAAACCTTACTGTTTTTTTTTCTTATATAGATTTTAGAACTACATAACCGAAATTGATAAAATTTAGGGTTAGATTAGTTCCTGAAATTTATGAATAGGCAAAAATATTTATAAAATCATAAAGTACCAATAGGTTTGATCCTTCCGTTAAAAAATCTATAGATTTAGAACAATATAACACGACTTAAACGCGAGAGCGCCACTATAACAACGATTTAACAATTCGCGCCACTTCAATAATGCGTGCCATTATAATGACGATTTTACAACGTGCGCCATTATAACGGTGATTTAATAACGCGCGTCACTGCAGCACGCCACTTTAACAATGCGCGCCATTATAACGACGATTTAACAATGCGCGTCACTGCAGCGCGCGACTTTAACAATGCGTGCCATTATTATGATGATTTAACAATGCGTGCCATTATAACGACGATTTAACAACGCACGCCATCAGCATGCCACTTTAACAATGCGCGCCATTATAACGACGATTTAACAACGCGCGTCACTGCAGCGCGCCACTTTAACAATGCGTGCCATTATTATGATGATTTAACAATGCATGCCATTATAACGACGATTTAACAACGCACGCCACTATAACCACTATAACAATATACGCCATTATAATGACAATTTAACAATATTTTGAATTGAATGCACTATAACAACGTGCGCCACTTAAACAATGCGCGCCATTATAACGGCTATTTAACAACATTTGGATTAAACACGACATTGCAACGCACGCCACTTAAACAATGCGCGCCATTATAACGGCTATTTAACAACATTTGAATTAAACACGACGTTGCAACGCACGCCACTTAAACAATGCGCGCCATTATAACCACTATTTAACAACATTTTGAATTAAACACGACATTGCAATGCACACCACTATAACAGTTATTTAACAACGTGAACCATTATAACGGCTATTCAACAACATTTTGAATTAAACACTATAACGGCTATTCAACAACATTTTGAATTAAACACGACATTGCATCACACACTACTATAACACAGTTATTTAACAACACACGCCACTATAACAAAGCACATCACTTAAAACAACACGCACTATTATAACAACTATTTAACAACATTTTGAATTAAATCACTATTGCAACGCGTGCCACTATTACAACAGCTATTTAACAACATTTTGAATTAAATCACTGTTGCAACGCGTGCCACTATAACGGTTATTTAACAACACACACCACTATAACAAAGCACGCTATTATAACAGCTATTAAACAACATTTTATATTAAACTCACTAGAACAACTTGTGCTACTATGACAGTTATTTAACAACGCACCAACTATAACAACGTGCGCGCCACTATAATGACCATTTAACAACATTTTGAATTAAACTGCGTATCACATAACAATAACCATATGCCCAAATTCCTTCCACTATTCTGTAGCAGTGCACCACCACCATAGCAGCTATTTAACAACATACATGAACATGTAAAAACTAAAACAACTGAATCAAACAATCTGAAAAAGGAGACCAAAAATTATCTTTTGAATTTCATAAAGGACAAGGAAAAGGGGCATTACAAAAAATGGTAAAATATGAACAATGCAATGCTTTCCGACTAAAACAAGAATATAGAAAATGAATTCAACTACTAAACTATCAAACTCCAATCCAATTCTCAGTCATTTCTCTCTTCCCAAAATCATGTTATTTTCTCAGAACACTACAAACTTTCTGTGTATAACATGCTTCTAGACCTAGCCAAAGAAAAAGTAAAAGAACAAGAAAAATCCCCCCAACAGTTCAATCATCCATTGAACCGAACCCCGACAAAGACATCGCCATCACCTTCAGTGAACTCCAATTTACAATCCTTTGCATTATCAGGCTCAGCACATCTTATCCTTCGGTTTGCAACGCTCTTCTTTGCCACAGTCTTTATCCTCATCTTTCGCTTCTCATTCCCTTGCATTTGAACCTGTTGAACCACCTTCTCCAAATCATCATTTCTCACACCACCATCCACATTCCCCCATGCTTTCTCCCAATCACCATCATCATCAGAAACATACACAAATTCAGCTGAATTATCACCCATCACAGTCTCATTACCACTTTTCACCTCATAAAACTTCAACGGCACTCTAGCCCTACACTTGTAATACTGCCGCTGCTCCTCCCCTTCCACCGTTGTCCCGCCCACTTTCACCGGCGGCTTCACAGCCACGCCGTGAAAAGCTTTAACACAACCCTGACACATCAGCGAGCAACCTTCATACCTCTTCTCGAACTGGTACAGGCTCCAGCAGTAAGGACAAGCAGTCCAAAACGTCGCCGTCGTGTCAACAACACCGCGCGTTCCGATATCGTGATCGTAAACAGCGCGTTTCTCCGGGTCAGAGAGCACGTGCCAGGCCTCACGGACACGTGCTAGGGCTTCATCTTGAAAGGGGAATTTGTCAGTGCTAGTAGGGTCCAACAGGATCGCGAACTTTGCGTAATGCTGACGAGCTAGGTCACGGTTGACGGTTTCAGAGCGGGGGAGACGGAGGACGGAGTAATGATCGGCAGCAGAGAGAACGTCGGCGATTGTGAGGATTCGGCCGATGGAATCGGAGAGTGGTAGACGACGGGCGAAGTCGCTGCAGGCGGAGAAGTTGCGGAGGGAGAGCATGGAGATGCATGCGGCGATTGGATTTTCGGGTTTGGATCCTCCGAAAGGATCCATTGGAATTCTGATTTGGTGTGTGACGACTGAGGTGTGAAGAAGTTGATACGTGAAAAGACAGAGAAGGGTGGTTTAGTCTTTATAGCCAATTTTCAAGTTTTCTTAATTGATTATGTTAATTAGCTCATTAATAACTCATTATGTTTGATAACTATCATGGGATGGGATTAGTAGGCATAGCCTAGTCAACACAAATATAAAAAAGAAAATTAGTTGAAATATATTTTTCAGTGTAAAAAAAACTTGCACGAAAACCAACCGAAATTTTTATTTTTAGAAACAACTAAAAAGAAGAAAATAAATATTAAATTTATTTAAAACTTAATTTTTTTAATTGAAATAGTGGAGTGATTGTGATAATGATAGCATAATATTTTATTTTTATTTTTTAATTAATAAAAAATTGTGATTGATAGTTTGTAAAGTTAAGTGTTATATTTGTATTTAATTAAGTTTTTTGGTTCGGTGTATAACTATTTTATACAATTATTCAATTAAAATGACATAAAATTAAAAAAAGAATTTAACTTGTATTGATTGACAGTGTAAAATAATTTTATATTATCATCTAAAAAAAATATTAATTTGTCATATAATACAATTAATTTAAAATTTACTGATGTGGTAGAATACATAAAGGTTATCATATAATACAATTAATTTAAAATTTACTGATGTGGTAAAATACATAAAGATTATTGATTAACAGTGTAAAATAATTTTATATTATCATTGCATACAAATTAAATTTATTAAAAAAATTATAATTCAAACATTTTAATAACTATTTCTTTCATATTTTTCTGTTTTTATGTATAAAAAATAATTCATGATAATATAAAATGACTTTACACTGACACTATTTTAATTAATCTAAAAAAAAATATTATTCAATAAATTTAATTAAAAAATAGTTATTTATTTAAGTTTTTGTGAGGATTATTTAGCATGGTCAAATTATTCTTTTTGACTAGTGAAATAAAGAAACTAAAATTTGTACTTGACTTGATCTTTGATTGTTGAGTTTTGATTTATGAAAATAAGTTAAAATGTTGGGGAAAAATGTGCATCTTATTATCATTTCTTTTTATGAGTAAAGATAAATAAAATTTATGTTTGATTCATAACTTTTATATTTTTTTTGCTTTTTATTCTAAATTAGGAAGATTCTATATATCTGTATGGATAAATTTATTTAAAATGATTATTTAATTGTAATAATAATAATAATATAAATTTAATTGTATTAAAAAATTATTTAAAAAATTCGTGAAATGAAAAAAGAAATTTTTTTTTTTGACATTTTAAAATAATAATTTTTATCTCAAATAAAGGTAATTATTGATTATAATAAAATAAATATTTTGTTGATAGTGACCTATAAGAAAAAGAGAAATTTTGACAATTAAAAATAATAATTTTATATCTCAAATAAAGACAATTGTTAATTAAAATAAAATAAGTATTTTATTGATATTGATCATGAAAGAAAGAATTTTTTTGATATTTTAAAATAAGAATTGTATCTCAAATAAAGATAATTGTTAATTAAAATTAAATAGGTATTTGACTGATAGTGTCCTGTGAGAAAAAGAGAAAATTTGACGTTTGAAAATAAGAATTTTATGTGTAAAATAAAGATAATTGTAATTAAAATAAAACAGGTATTTAACTGATAGTGACTTTTGAGAAAAGGATAAATATTGACATTTTATAATATTAATTTTGTATCTCAAATATAAAAATTATTAGTTAAAATAAAATAGATATATTTTTGATAGTGAGTGATCTTTGAAATGAAAAGTTAGTTGTGTGTATGACTATTGAGTATTATCTAATTTTATAAAATAAAATTTTAATTTTATTAAAATTTAAAAATACATTAATTAATATTTTTAAAAATAATAAAATAATTAATTATTTCGTAAAAACAAAAACTAAATAACAATATTGTATACATTTATACAAAAATAAGTATTTAATATGATAATCATATACTATAATTATAGATTTTAATATATTAAAAATAATTGGAATAAAATAAAATAATTAGATAGAAAAGATAAAATAATGAAATAAAAGAGAAAAAAATATAAAAGAAAAAAAGAACTTAATTTGAAAGAAGGATAATATGGTGAGTGAAAAAGTGAAAACAGGAGGAAAAAATGAACATAGATAAGACACCAAGATCATTGGTAGTTTTTGTAAGAGCACAGATTGTGTCTTAGTAATATCTCTATGTTTTGATGATAACATTAATGATAATTTGTATACAAGAATTATACTCTCTAAATTTGTTCTAAACTGTTTTCTACAGGCACAAAAGATTTTAATCTTAAAGAGCAAATTTGATGTGAACAATAAATTCTGAATGGCTCAAGAGCATCTAAAGATTAGAAGAATCTGAAGTATAAGAGCTTAGTCATCAAGATTCTGAAGATACAACACGCTGCATATATTATCAAGAATCTGAATGAAAGAAGACTCTGAGTGAAGAGACTCTGATCTGAGTGAAGACTCTGATCTAAGAGCATGATACGCTTCAAGCACACAGCTGCACCAGACTCTGATTCATCAACATCTGAAGAACATCTTAGGCTCTGAAGTTTCCAGAAGATTCTGAAGACTGAAGACTCTGATATTGATTGTTGATCTGAACTATCTGAAGAATTATTTGAAGAAGATTATTTTAATATATCCGTTGGAATATGCCAGCAAATCTTTCCTTAATTGGGATAGACAAAATTCTCTGCAAGAATATTATTCCTCTGGTACATTCCATATATGGTATAATCACAGCTCAGCAGACAATTGCTACACCCACATTTTGTGCGCCGTCTCTCTGCTGCAATAGTACAAAGGACAGTACTATTTGATATTGGAAATATCTTCTCCAACGGTAAAATATTCTCTCCAATATTCAAGTGGCTATATAAAGGAAATCATAGCTCATTCTTCAAGTGACGAAATTGACGAATTTATTGCAAGAACTCTCTCACGCTAAAAGCTCTCATATTCTTTGCTGTTCATACATTGTTCTAAACTTAGAGAAATAACACAGTTGTGTTTATAGCTTTATTAGAAGCAATTTCTTACTCTTACATTGTATTACATTAATTTGTAAAGGAAGTTTTCCTTAAGAGGATCTAGGTTAGATCAGTAGCTCTTGAGAAGACTAAGAACAGTTGTTCTTAGGTGTTGCTATTTGTAATCAGTTGATTTGAATAGTGGATTAAGTCCTTGTTGAGAAAGGCAAATCACTCTTGAAAAGGGTGGACTGGAGTAGTTGAGTTCAACGAACCAGGATAAAAATACTTGAGCTTTTATCTTTGATTATTTTCTGTCATACTTATTCAACCCCCCCTTCTAAGTATTTTCTCTCCTTCAGTTGGCATCAGAGCTCCGGTTCTGAGTGTGCATTCACTTAACCGTGACAGATAAAGATCCAGTGAGAAGAATACTCTGTTATTTATTTGGTTGCTAATATGGGTGATATTCCTACATCAAGCAACAAATATGAAGGAGACAGAATCAGCACCAAACCTCCAATGTTTGATGGAGAAAAATTTGATTATTGGAAAGATAGACTTGAAAGTTTTTTCTTGGGGTATGATGCTGATCTCTGGGATTTAGTCATTGATGGATATGAACATCCTACTAAGGATGGCAAAAAGATTGATAGAAAATCAATGACTGAGGAGCAGAAGAAAGAATTCAAGAATCATCACAAAGCCAGAACCATACTTCTTAATGCAATATCTCATACAGAGTATGAGAAGATTACCAACAGAGAAACTGCTCATGATATGTTTGAGTCTCTCAAAATGACTCATGAGGGAAACACTCAGGTGAAAGAAACAAAGGCTCTGGCGCTGATACAGAAGTATGAAGCGTTCAAAATGGAAGAATCTGAGAACATTGAGACCATGTTTTCCAGATTTCAGATTCTAACAGCTGGGTTGAAAGTTCTGGACAAGGGCTACTCAACATCTGATCATGTCAAGAAGATCATCAGAAGTCTTCCAACCAGATGGAGACCTATGGTGACTGCATTGAAGCTGGCCAAGGATCTGAACAAAATCTCATTAGAAGAACTCATCAGTTCTTTGAGAAGTCATGAGATTGAGCTGGAGGAAGATGAACCCCAGAAGAAAGATAAAGGTAAATCCTTAGCTTTTAAATCTAACAAATCTGTTAAAGCCTTGCAGGTGAATGAAGAAAGCTCTGAGGAATCTTCTTCTGAAGAAGAAGATGAACTATCCATGCTGTCCAGAAGGATCAACAAACTCTGGAAGCACAAAGGGAAGAAGTTCAACAACTTCAAAAGATCTGATCAAAAGAGAGAATCTTCTGGACACAGAAGATCTGGCAAGAAAGAGGTCACTTGCTTTGAATGTAAAGAACCTGGACACTACAAGAGTGAATGTCCCAAACTTCAAAAGGAAAAACCCAAAAGGAAGTTTGATAAAAAGAAAAAGGTTCTGATGGCTACATGGGATGACTCAGATGAATCTGAATCATCTTCTGAATCTGAGGAAGAATGTGCAAATGTTGCGCTGATGGCCAACACAAATGATCAAGATGAAGGAACGTCATCATCTGAATCTGAGTCAGAATCAGACTCTGACTCTGAAGAGGTATTTTCTGAACTCTCCAGAGCTGAACTTGTTGAAAGTTTATCTGACATGTTGGAAAGCTACAGCAAGATTAAACTCAAATACAAGAAGCTGAAAAGCAATCTTGAATCTGAGATTGATCTTCTGAGAACAGAACTTGTTGAGCAGAAAGAAATAAATTTAAAACTCAAAAATGATTTAGAAACAACTCAACAAGAATCTGATACTGAAACAGAGTCAAGTGAAAATATTTTAGAAAAATATGACTCCAGTTTTAAAAGATTCCTCACTAAAAGCATAGACAGAAGCAAAATGGCTTCTATGATCTATGGTGTTAGTGGGAACAACAGAAGAGGCATTGGATGTGAATCCTCCTCTGGAAGC